GGGGGGGCAACATTTTAACGTCCTATTCGGAGGATAGAAACTTAAAATCTTCAAAATTTAAGTGGAACAAATCGAGATCAGTGAGTTCGACAGATTCGAGCTTGGGACAGAGCAAACAAACGAATTTCCAAAAAAAAGGTTAAATTCCAATTGCGGATTAAAGAAATAGGCAATGGGGAGCGAGACCCAAGCTCGTAAGCAGAAAAAACAAGTGTTGAGAGATCGATTAAAACCTAACCTCAGCAAGATTGACCAGAATTCCAGACAAAAAGAAACCGGGGAAGAAGGAAGTAGCTTCTGCGACCATCACCAATGATTCCTCGCCCTTCTTCTGCCAAAATCTAGGTTGTCCGAATTTGCTGTGTCTCCGTGGATTGTTCCTATTGCTTTCGGATTTGAATGTCTGAGCTTTCGCTCTTTTGTGCTAAGCTTCGATCGCTGCTTATTGGGTTTTGTTTATTGTTTTTTTTTTCCTCTTCTCTCTCTCTCTCTCTCTCTCTCTCTCTCTCTCTCTCTCTCTCTCTCTCTCCCCAAATGTGTTAAAAGGTGCAGAGAGCGTAATAAAAATCAAATTAAATTGGACTAAAATTAGAGAATCGAAGATTTTGAAGAAAAGACTCAAACTTCAAAATTTTGGAGGCTTTTTTTAATCGTAATTAAGCATAAGTTTGTTATTATAATGTTTTCTTTAAAGGAATAATAAAGAAATATATTAGAAATGCATGATTATGGCTTATGAGTGAAGATGTTGGTCAAGGTAATGTATGCTTTATTTTACAAGCAAATGTTTTAGTTGTAGATTTCTTATGTGATTGTTCTTGCCGGGTTTTTTTTTCATTGAATGAAATTATTACACGCAATTGATAATTATCGGAAAGACAGCCTATTATTTTGTTTAACAAGTAAAACAAACAAGTATAAAAAAAACGTAATAAATTAGGATGACCATTTCGGGTTTCATTTCGATTATATTCGAGTTCAATTATTTCGGTTATAGAAAAATTATAACCATTCGATTTTTATATTAACTTCGAAATGGTTTGATTCGAATTCGAATTTTATTGGTCAAAAATTCATTTTTAAAAAAAATTATAGAGTTCTTTATTATTTTTTATTCGGTTTGGAATTAGTTTTTTTATTTAAAAGTCATTACTGTTCGGTTTTTATATCACATTTGGATTTAGTTTTTTTATTTAAAAGTCATTACTGTTCGGTTTTTATATCACATTCGCTTTGGTCCGGTGATTATTCGATTAATAATCAAAATAAATATTATAACCAAGACATTCAAATAAAAAGAAAAAGAAAAAAAAGAATATCCTTTTCATGAATTTAAATACTCCAATTACATAACAATAATCCAAAACTTAATGCCAGAGTTTGTGTTAATTATGTTATGTTTTTACACTTAAGTAAAGATAAAACGCAACAAAAATAACTCGAACTTTTTATTTTTATTTTGAATATACAAATCATCAATCTTCAAAGATCTAATACTTAGAAATATTTTAAATCTTCTACGAAAACGTGACTTTTCCCACCTTTTAATAAGACGAGAAAACAAAGAAAAAATCATGAGTTTAGACTTGTCCACACAAATCATTAACGGACCAAATTATAGAACGTGTGACAGAATTTTTTTTGTGTCCGAAAATACATAAAATGATTTTTTTTGAAAACACACGCATGTTTATATATATATCCCACGGTAACATGTGAAAGATAGGTATGAATATGTTGACATATGATGTTTCTTGGTATATTTAATTGGTTAGCTCAAGTAGCTCAAGTGGCGAAACGAGAATGTAAAATGTGATATCTCGAGTTATGTTGAGGGTTAGGAGTGTTCACCCGGTGTAGATGGCATGGACAAAGACCGGTTCTCCAAATACCACTAAAGATAGAGGGATACAACAATGAATCTAACGCATCGAAATGAGAGAGATTCGAATACTACATATGTATAAGACTATATGATATAAGATAACATAAAAGAATTAGTTGGGTTATTCATAATAACAAGATGTACCTATCTTTTCGGTTGACTATAACAAAAGAAAATTCTAGAGTAATCTAATAATGGATGACCTATTGAAAAGTATTTCGGTATACTTGTGAGTGAGAGCAAAGCACATTGGAAAGGTCTCATGTTAGTATGTGAGAGCAGTTTCGACATTCCGTAGCATCGCTGGTTGTTACATGAAGCGTAGCTTACGGTCTGAGTCCGAGCCTCAAGCTAGAGAGAAAAATACATGTTCTAATAAAATGGTTTGTTCCCGACCCCGAGATTAGTATAATCCTCGGTACCAAACAATCGATACCCAAAAAAAAGTTTGGTATAATTTGAAGGGTAACTTACCAGTTGAGATGTATATTTTGAAGGGTATATTTTGAAGGGGAGCCTTGGCGCATCGGTTAAGGTGTTGTCGTTGTGACCTAGAGGTCAGAGTTCGAGTCCTGGAAGCAGCCTCTTGTAGAATATTCTGCAAGGTAAGATTTGCCTACAATACACCTTTGTGGTGGGACCCTTCCCCGTACTCCCGATCAACTGGGATGCTTTGTGTGGCGGGCTGCCCTTTTAACTTACAAGTTAAGGTGTTACTGTTATATAATTTATAGATTATATTTTGTAATTATCAATTTTTTTCATTTCTCTACATAAATTTTAAAACTTTTTGTGTTTTCTATTTACAAGAACATTTTGTTATTAGGTTAAATGATATAATGTATAGCTATAATATATATATATAGGTATGAGTTCTGTGGTTTTATAAAGCGTGTAGATACCTAATTGTCAAACAAGGTATAGATAGAGCTATATACTTCTGTTTTATATTAATAATTTCATCATCTACTCCATACCCGGAGACAGCTTTCGTCAAAATTTGAGTCGAACATCCTCAAACTCATCTTATGTACCATCGTCATCGTCATCGTCATCGATCACATTTTTCATGAAAATATATGTGCGTAGAACTTAAAGGTTTAATAAAACTCAATTTAAAAAATAATATCTATATATATATAATACATATATCTTTTATGATATGGTTATCAAAAGCAAACGGTTGAAAATGACTACACTGGATATAGAGACCTGTATACACGAACGTATTAGAAGCTGTAAGGAGGTTATCCGACAATGTAGCAGAGTTTGTTATTCCTTAATTTCTTAATCCTCTGTATCTTTATTATTTATGTTTTAGTCCTTAGTTATTTATTCATTATTCCTTAGTTGTACACTATAAATAGATTCCCTGTACAGACATTTTAAGGAGAGAGAGAAAACTTTTTTCCAGAAACACTGCGTTCTTCATTTTCTCCAAGGTTCTTCTGCATTTCTCTTTGAGCTTTTTCCAGGTTGCGTTATTGTATCAGAGCTAATGATCCTCTGATTTTTTTCTTCTCATATTCCGCTTGTTTTTTTCAACACCTCATTTCCCCCTCCTGTTTTCTTCAACCTCAAAACCCTAGCCCCCCTTTCTTTCTCTTACCACCCAGAAATGACCTCCGTTCTAGACCAAACCCCTATTCATGCAACGCCACACTCTTAAGGCTCCATCACAACCAACACGCCAACTTTGTCCCAAACAGATCCTTACGCCAAACCTCTTTACCTTCATGCGGTGGATTCTTCAAGCCTTATCCTTATTTCCGACAAATTAGTTGGTGAATCTAACTATAATGTCTGGACTAGATCTGTTACCAAAACTCTCTTAGCAATGAACAAGCTAGGCTTTGTCCTAGGAACCGTTCCCAAACCTGCTGAGGACCAAGCCGAATCTGGCTCTTGGGATCGTTGTAATGCCTTAGCCTTGACATGGCTTACAAATGTTGTTTCCCCAGAAATAGCTAGTCTCATTGTTTATCTTGATGACGCCGCTAAAGTATGGAAGAACATGGAACTCCGTTTTAAGCAGAAGACCGCCACAAAGCTCTACAACATTTAGCATCAACTTGACTCTCTACATCAGGGAGCCATGGATCTGAACACCTACTTCACCAAACTCACATCTCTGTGGGAGGAGCTTAAAAATCACGAGCCATTCCCTACCTGCACCTGCGGAAACTGCTCATGTGACCTCGGTGGACGATGGAACTAATGGAACATCGTCATGTCGTTAACTTCTTAATACGGCTGAATGACTCATACTCACCAGCCAGAAGACAAATCATCATGATAGATCCGCTGTCTGACCTATCTCGTGCCTTCAACCTGGTCTCCCAGGAGGAACAACAACGACTGACCCTCCCTGCTGGTTCTGATGCAGCAGCGTTCCACATCGGCTCGAAATTCCTACCTTCTCACAACCGTCCTCTGCTCCCTACGCCCACAACCATACCATCTCAGGTTCGACCCCGCCCCACTTGCTCTCATTGTGGCATGACTGGACACTTGGCA